GATTTCCAAGTGAGAGAAATTCAACAAAAATGTCATTAGAAAAACCAAAGCCAGAAATTGACCTCTGTGCCTGTCCTCTCAGAACTGAGATTTAATTATATGAAAAGCAAACCAGTATCTCCTTTTTATTGCTTTTCGACAAGCCTGTTGGGATAGAGCCTCAACTAGCCCATCCCCCTATCCTTCTTACCACCTGAACATTCCACCAAATGTTTCTACTTTAGTTTTTTTATTATTAAATTGATAATGCATATGGTATAATAATAGCAATAATATGATGAATACTCAAGAGTATGAAATAAAAATAAAATGCTCTCTCCACCATTCCCCACCATAATCCCCCTTGGTTAACACTTTCTGGTGAAAAGCACAGACTGCCTGGCTTCAACTCTCATCTCTGCCACTAGTTAGCTGTGTGATCTTGGGCTAGTCATTTACATTCTGTGTCTCACTCTCCCAATCTGTCAATATATGGGATAACAGTAGTATTTACCCAACAGAACAGATTAAATGAGTTAAAATATGAACACAGTAAGTGCTATGTAGATGTCAGCTATTATCCTAACAAGAAATATATATGCATATAATTTATGTAATTATATACATTTCATATGTATCTCTAAGCATACATATACATAAACAGAATCAACATGCGTGCACCTTGTTTTCCCTCCACTTAATGTATATCTCAGAAATCTTGGTGTATAAGCACATATAGATCTACCCCTTTCTTCATCAAAGGTTCATATTATTCCACTGGATGAATGTGCCTACAGAGTCAAGAAATATTTATCAGGCAATTATGTTATGCCAGGCCCTGGGTAAACAGACAGAAGAAACTTCCCCTTGGAGCAAATCTTGATGCTATTTTTATTGGGATGGTGTTAAATATATAGAATTATGTGCCCTGACTGGGAATTGAACCTACAACCTTTTGGTGTACAAGATGATACTCCAATCAACTGAGCCACCTGACTAAGGCTCCCCTCTCCAACTCTTAAGCATTGTTCCCCCTGGAGATTTCAGCTACTCCTAAGATTTTAATCACTCCCCAAAACATGTATTTTGGCCCAGATCTCTCTGCTAAGCTCCCTAATCACCTATCCAATTGTATGTGTGACCCATTTCTGAGTGTCCCACAAGCTTCTCAATTAGGACCAAAGCACATCACTCACTTCCACCCATTACTCAGATCCTGGCACTATTTTTAAATATCAGTTGAACTCATCCATTTTTCTCCATTCTTTACCACCTTGAGGATGTCATCAATTTTGGTCTCTACTGCTGGTCTCTCTGCTTTCTGTCTATTCCCAACATTCTGGTCTGCATCCCACTGTCAGAGTAGTTTGTATAAAACACAAATCAACACCCCCCACTCCTAAGCATTCAGAGGTATAACTATGCCTACAAACTGACCAAAATGTTGGGTTCTCTCATTCTTCTGCCTTCATTCTGGGCCCACTACCTGAAATGCCAATTCTGTTTACTCCTTAAGGCTCAGTTCATCTGTGTCCTCTTAGAAGTTCTCTTGCACTCTTCCCAACTCTCCAAACTCCAGCCCTGTCCTCTCTTATCCCTGGGAGCATCTCCTTATCTTTTTCCTTTTTTTTTTTTTATCATTGCACTTATCACACATTCCTGTAATCACTATCGTTTTCTGCCCTGACACTTCCCTAACCAGACTTTGAATGAGTCCCTCGATGGCAGAACTGATGCCCTGGTTAGTCTATGCACTCCAGAACCGGAACACAGGACAAGGCATATGTTGGGACTCTTCGCTGATGGATGGAGTGATGAACAAATGATTTAGAGAGAGAAACTCTATGATCTCCAAAGAGTTGAGCTTTGCCTAGTTTAACTGTCTAAAGGATTATATGATAGCCTTCCAAATAAAACAATTGCTTCATCAAAGTGGGAGAGAGAGATGGATAGACACAGAGAAAAAATAGTCATTTTAAAGACTAATGTTTGAATGTGGAACTAAATATTATACAGTTAAGCTGCTGAAGTTACAAATGCATTAAAATGGGTCTTACAGAGTATGTGGGACTCAGCAGTATTATATTTAAATCATACGCAACCATAAATAAATTTGCTTGGAGAATTCAGTTAGCATGCAAAACTCTTAATAAAACAGATATTTTAAATTGAAATGTTGTATACATATGCACCCCTATGTTCATTGCAGCATTATTTACAATATTCAAGATGGGGAAGCAAGCTAAGTGCTCATTAATTGATTAACAGATAAGAAGATGTGTTATTTATATATTTTGAAAAATAGGATATTACTCAGCCATAAAAAATAATTAAATCTTGCCATTTGTGATGATATGAATGGACATAGAAGGTGTTACTCTAAGTTAAATAAGTCAGACAAAGACAAATTCCATATGATCTCACATATATGTGGAACCTAAAAAACAAAAACAAACAAAACAAAGCAGAAACAGATTCATAGACAAGAGAACAAACTGGGTCCTTGCTAAAGGGGCGGGGGTGGAGAGAATGGGTGGAAAAGGTGAAGGGTGTTAGGAGATAGAAACTTAAAAGAGAGAGAGACACACAAATTGTCAGTTATAAAATAAATAACACAAGAAGGTAGTGAGGAGCATAGAGAATATAGTCAATAATGCTGCAATAAGTTTTCATGGGAGAGAAGACAAATGAAATTTCTGGTAGTGATCACTTCACAATGAACACAAATATCAAATCACTATATTGTACATCTGAAAATAATATAAAACAATTGTACATCAATAAAAACAAATTGTGAGGTTTACCATAAGTCTTAAGATAAATGGAAAAGTAATGATAAGGAAAGGATAAGGGAATAGTTGCAGATCAGGAACAGGATGAGGGTGAGGGTTAGGGTTGGGGATACAGTTAGGGTTAGGATTAGCTTTAGGGTGAGCATTAGACCCACCATAGGGTTAGGATTAGGATTAGGATTAGACCTAGGGCTAAGTCTAGTGGTAGGGAAAGGCTTAGTGTTAGTATTAAGGTTATGGTTAGAATTAGAACAACGGTTACCGATAGGACTAGAGTTAGACTTAGGATAGGTTTAGGGCTAGGGTTAGGTTTAGATTTGGGGTTAGACCAAAAGTTAGTGTTTGGGCTAGCATTAGGCCAAGAGATAGAGAGATGGTTAGAGTTAGGATTAGACATGGGGTTAAGGTTATGCTGAGGGCTAGGGTTAGGTGGATTGCTAGGGTAAGGATTATACCAAGGGATAGGATTAGGTTGAGGGCTAGGGTTAGACAGATGGTTAGGGTTAGGACTAGCCGTAGGGTTAAGGATATGTTGGGTTAGGATTAGGGAGTTGGTTAGGGTTAAGATTAGACCAGGGATTAGGGTTCCTTTCAGGGATAGGGATAGGAGGATACTTAAGGTTAGGATTAGACCTAGGGTTAGGGTTATGTTGAGGGTTAGGGTTAGAGAGAAGGTTCGGGTTAGGATTGGACCTAGGGTTAGGGT